GCGGGGGGGGGCTGGGGGGGGAAGGAAGGACGAACCCCCCACCCCATTAAAACACGCGCGAGCGCCGGGAATGGGGGGGCGAGGAGGGGAGACCCCCCCCTTCCCCCCAGTCCCACCACCCCCCACCCTCTCCCTGGGGAATGGGGGCGCTGGGGAGGGCAGGCCTGGGGAGAGGGGAGACCCCCCCCCGGGTGAAGGGGAGGGGCGCGGAGGGGAGACCCCCCCCCAAATAGGGGAGGGGTATTGGGATCAGAAATCCCCCCTATTAGGGGAGGGGAGATCCCCCCTTTAAGGGAAGGGTATTGGGAGGGAAGACCCCCAATTAGGGGAGGGGTATTGGGAGAGGAGACCCCTCTATTAGGGGAGGGGAGACCCCCCCCATTAAGGGAGAGGTGTTGGGATGAGAGACCCCCAGTTAGGGGAGGGGTACTGAGAGGGAAGACCCCTTCCCCAATTTGGGGAGGGGAGACCCCCCAATAGGGGAGGGGTACTGGGAGGGGTGACCCCCCCCCCCCAATTAAGGGAGGGGAGACCCTCCATTAAAGGAGTGATTGAGGGAGAGGAGATGGGCCGGGTGACCCCCCCCTAAAGACCCCTCAATGGGAAGGTGACCCCCCAACTTCTGAGGGGGAGAAAGGAGACCCCTCCCCAAAATACCAGTGCCCCCCCAGCAAGGGGATGGAGGGAGGAGACGTCCCCTCCCCTCATTAAGAACTTGGGGGGCTTCTCCCCCTTCCCCAAGCAAGGCCCCCCCTTTTATGGGGGAGGGTCTGCCCTGTTTTGGGGTGTGTGTGTGGGGTGATCACCCTGTCCCCCCACTTTTGGGGGGAGGGGGAGGGTGGGAACAACCACAACAACCCCCTCCCCAAATTTGTGCCCTGTGATGGGGGGGGGGGGCTCTGAGGAAGACCCCCCAGACCCACCTTCCCCCCTCCTCAGCTCCCCCAAACTGGGGTGGGGGTGTGTGTGTGTGGGGGGGTTGTGTCTCTTTTTGGGATGTGGGATCATCCCCCTTATTCCCACCCCACATCCCCTTTTCCCAAATTTTCCTCCCCCCCTAAACCCCTCCAGGACCCCCCCCCGGGCCAGGATTCTCCCCCCCCCGTGTCCTGGGAGCGATTTTGATGCCCCCGGCGATCAAAAAAGCGCCTTTTGATTCCCGTCGGGAATCGCCGGCGGGAGCCGGAGCCTCGCACAAAGATTCTTTCTCTCTGGGGGCTTTTCCAGGGAAACGGGGGGCTCCCCATCCCTCTGGGAATATAAAAACCCCTGGGGGGGGGTTAATTCTCCTCCCCCTCTCTCCCCATTCCCTTCAGGAATTGGGGGGGTTTTTCAATCCTGGTGATGGGATTTTTTTTTTTTGGATGGTTCCAGGTCGTTGCTTTCCTGGTTTATCCCGGGATTTTAAACGGGGAAAAGCCCAAAAAGGGGCTGAGGATCCTCCAGGGGATCCTCCTGGATTCAGGGGAGCGGGAGGAGGGTCCTGGGCTCCCTCAGGGTTGGGACAGCGCTTGGCAAAACCCGATTAAATTCCCTTTTCCTCTTATTCTGTCCCCCCTCTCTCCATCCCCATTCCCAGGGGCTTCAGGAGATCCCATTTTTTTTTCCTTTGCCACCCAACCCAAAATAACCCCCAAAAGTCCCGATTTTAGGATTTTGGGCGCTCCCAGAGCTCCTGGTGCCGGGTTGGAGGTGGGATTTGGGGAGTTGGGACCCGTGTCCTGGCCTTTCCTTCTCCGTCTTCGTCGATTTTCCAGCTGGGAATCGGCACAGGGGGATTGCTGGAGGGGTTTGGGTTGTTCTGGGTGCTGTGGAACCGTTCCTGGGTGGGATGGATGGTCCATCCCTGGCTCTGGATCCATTCCTGGGTGGGATGGATGGTCCATCCCAGTGTGGATCCATTCCTGGGTGGGATGGATGGTCCATCCCAGTGTGGATCCATTCCTGGGTGGGATGGATGGTCCATCCCAGTGTGGATCCATTCCTGGGTGGGATGGATGGTCCATCCCAGTGTGGATCCATTCCTGGG